GAGACATCAACATTTCTTAAGTAAATCTTGAAAGGTTTGAGCCAGTGTTCCTGGACCAGAAAATTCTTAAAAATTGAAACTAATACATAGGAAAAACCATTTTTTTAACCCAGTTTCTGTTCTGAAATGTTTGGCAAATTATTTTTCCCTTCACTATTCTTTCCTCTATTGGGACATACAAAGTCTGGGGTGCGGGGGGCCAGCCCCTGCAAATTTTGGGGAGTCCCTTGTAAGATGTGGTGGCGTCGGCGAATCTGTAGGGATAGATATTAAAAGAAAGAAAGATGAAAGGATAGATATAAAGAGGAAGAAAGAGAAAGAAAGTGTACAACTGTTCAGTGAAATGAGCAGAAGCCATTTATTGAAAGTTACAGCAGGTATTTATCCCCAAATTTTACACAGGCAGTCTCATAAGTCTTTCACGTGAACACAAAGCCAGGTGCGGGGGGGGGCATCCCCTACCCACCAGATACTTAGGTGTGAGGAGGAACAAGCCCCAAGATTGTCTCATTGTTCCCTTTGCTAGTTAATGTTCTTCAAAAGCAGTGTAACAATCCTTACTAGCCTAATGATGCTCTGATAATCAATAACTTCTAGAGCTCACACAAAACCCATGATGACTATCTTAAACTTTACTATTTACACAATGCTATGGAAGCTTTTAATTATAGCTTAAGCCAATTTCCTAAAGAATATGGCCCAGTCCAAAGATCACACTGGGCCCTACAGGATGTGGCCCAGTCTAAGGTCCACGGTGGGCCACCTTTTGGAACAATAGACTACAATCTCTTAACAAAATGGCTATTCCAAAGTCCTATATATCTATCCTAATTTCTGTGAAAGTTTTCCAATTCTTAATTCTAATATATAAAGCTGATTAGTAGTGGCAAATCTTCTAAAACCTAAATGTAAACTGTAAATGTACTAAGGCCAAAACTTCGACAGTAGAAAGTGGAGACAATGACAGTTCTAAAGTTAACTATATTCTTATTAAACCTAAAAATGTTATGATTGATTATGTTTGAACTAACATGATTCGTAGCATGACCTATTCTATAATACCTTCTATGAATAAAATAAGTTCAATTTCTATAACAGGTAGAAAAAAGACCTTACACTAACTGTAGCTAAAACCGGCCTAAAAGAATGCAGCCCAGTCCAAAGTACGTGCTGGGCTCTCAGGAATGTGGCCCAGCCCAAACTCTGTGCTGGGTCACTCTTGACAATCATCTATACCATTGAAAAGCTGAAACAGCTCTCCATAAGTATATACTAATTCTACAATATTCTTTTAAATCTTATAAAGAAGCTTGTACCATATAAAAGGCTCCCAAATGTGACCTGGGTTTGAATTATATCTAATACCTAAGCCGAAACCGCAGTTTATGGGAAACAGGAACAATGGGTTTCTAGAGTGAACCATGCCTGTCACAGTCACAGAGTCTTCAGCTTAGGCCAGCAGAGTTTCTTTAGGTTGTTTTTGAGCTGCATGGCAAAAGGGGGA